AGGCCCAAGGTTACAGATACCATCATATTAACAGCTAGTATAGATCTCCTAGAACAAGTCAGAGCTCTTCACCAGCAATTTCATCTGTCTCCACAGAACCTGAATAAGCTTCTCCCCAAGCTGCCAATTTTCCAGTGCAAGCATTTGTCTCAGTCATATGCCACCTGTGCCCCTCTTGCCTCTTTGAGGCCACTTCAACATGTAGGGTCAACCCCCATGGCTTATTGCCCAATACCATTTGAAAAATGGACATTACACATTATGCTCCTTTTGGCAATCTTAGATATGTTCATGTGATAGTGGATACATGTTCCTCCTTTGTGTATGCTCTTGCCCTTGATGGGGAAAAGATTGTTAATGCTATTAAGGCCCTTAAATCAGCCATGTTGTTCATGGGGGTGCCTTGAGCTATAAAAACTGACAATGGCCTTGCCTACACCTCTCAACAGTTTAATGACTTCCTGGGATCCTGGAAGATCTTGCATACCACTGGTATGCCCTATAATCCTCAGGGACAAGCCATTGTAGAAAGAGCCAATAGAACTCTTAAAGAACTGTTGGCTAAGACCATCTCACCTGAGGCTAAAAGGAACCCCCATTTGACCCTAGCTGAAGTCCTTTTCCATACAAATTTTCTCAGCTCTGATGAGGTGGGACTCAGTGTAGCATATAAACATTGGGCTTCCTGCCCCAGACCACACCTCTACCCCTAGTAAGATGGAAAGACCCTATCTCTCTCCAATGGCAGCCACTAGTCCCCCTGCTGATCCATGGGAGAGGGTATGCTTGTGTTTTTCCTCAAAGTGAAACTATGCCAATATGGGTCCTAACAAGAGATGTGTGTCCCACCACAGACCAGCTGGCCTCCACCAAAGAATCGGTCATGGATGAGTAATGTACATACCACCATTGCCTTTTTTATTCCCTTAAAAGCAGAGGATCTATGGGCTCTGGTTCCCGTGCCTCCCATTCTGTTGCTGGTGGCAATTAACTCCTCTGCTTTCCCTGTGATATTTACCACCAACTGTTGCCTTAGCCTGCCCTTTATGGATCTGGGACTGACCACAAAAAAAAAAAAATGGAGGACACCTGGTCTGTGGAGGAAGCCCTTTGCTTTACCCCACCTTTTTTTCTTTCTCTTGTCCAATGCCTAAGAAATAGAATTAGTAAGAGACATCTCCCTACTGGCCCTCCAATCCATGCTTCCAGGCAATTTGTCTCACCCCCTTAATTACTCCATTCTACTATGGGAACAAATATCTTTTCTCAATATGACCAGGGTCTGGTGATATCATTGGAGATAGATTTATTTTTTTAACTAAAGTCTGGGACAACTTTAAAAGGTGATTTGATCCTTCCTGGATGCTCACATATGCTTGGATTGATGGGGTGATAGTGTTAATCCTTATTTTCTTTATATGTAACCTGCAGCAGTGTGCAGCAACTAAGGCGACTCTTCATGTTTTAATGGCTCTTAGATATCCTGCTCATAGCCCTCCACAGGTTATGCATGCCTGATTCTCTGAAATTCAAAAGGCTACTGACTAATCATCCCCACCTGGGTGGCTCTCCAGGAATGGCTGTTCTTCGAGGGCTGGTAGTCAATGACAGGTAAGAGTTTGTTAGGCAAGCCCACCTAAGACAGGCACAATCCAATTGCTGAGCCCTCCTGGGGTAAACAAGGCCTGAACAAATAACTGGCTCCCGCTGAGCACCCAAGTAATAAAGTAAAAAAGATATGTTGGAAGGCCTAGGAGTCTGCCTGAGGGTCTAGTAACAGGCACTATCAGAGGTCCTGATCTTGCCTAGCCAATGAGGGGCAACCACACAATGTCCCAGATCAGGATGCAGCCTAGGTGCTGGGAGGAGGGTATATAAGACTCTTTTCATTGCTGAATAAATGAGTCTGCTGTTTGCCTTTTATCTGACTCCTGGTGTCTGTTCCATTGATGTGGCACCTTCTCACCCCCTCCTCTGAGCAGGACGCTGAGTTTGCAAGTAGCTGACAGGAAATGGTAAGGAGGAACCATGTGTAGCAAGGGTTTTTTTGGAAGATGCCAGCAAAGTAAAGTTACTTTCTATTCAGCCTTTCTGAGGGAGAATTCCACCTTAACCACTAAATTGTGAGTTCTTTAGATTTAGATAGTTTCCCTTAGTAGCTTTGAAAGAGCTGCAATCTGACTAGGATAGCCATTGCTTAAGGGGCAGCCACTGTACATAATAAAAAAATAGACAACAACAACCTACTTCTTTGAACTCCATGAGGATGTGGCCATTTTGCTGTTGGTATTGTCCATACACACATGTATTCATGTTTTCTAGAGAAACAGAACTGATAGAACATATTAAAAGTGGATTACATTGGTTTACATGATAAGGTCCAGGTAAATCTAACAATGGTTGTCTCACACCAGTGAAGCCAAGAATCTAATTGTTTAGGACATGGGGCTGAAGATCTCAACAGTACCAATCTGACACTGGAGGTAGGTCTTCCCACATAAGTATCTGATTAATAAAGTCTATGGTGATATTCTATTTGTGCTCTAATAAATAAAGCTTGCATGGAGAGGAAAAAGTCAGCCACTATATTAAACACAGAAGTCAGGCAGTGGTAGCATACGCCTTTAATCCTAGCATTTGGGAAGATGGAGATTCATCCAGATCTCTGTGATTTCAAGGTCACAACAGAGTCAGGCGTGGTGGCACATGCCTTAAATCCCAGTACTAGTTAACCATAGATGTCTGGAGCTCTGTACAGACAGACAAGAAGTGGTAAGAGCTGGGCAGAGAGGAAGTGAGATGGCAGGGACAGAAAGGATATAGGCATGAGTATACAAGAAGTAGCCCTCTCTTGGGCTAAGGATTTCCCAGGGTAAGAACTTGTGGCTGTGGCTTGTTCTGTTCCTCTGATCTCTTGGCTTTCACCCCAATATCTGGCTCTGGGTCTTTTATTACTAAGACCATTTAGCAATTTGCTTTACAAAAGTCCTCCACAGGAATACCCAGTAGCTTATGGTTTAGTTGATTTCATTTCCAGCTGAGATGTCAACCAAGATTAGCCATCAAAACATCAGTCTTCAGTCTTTCCTCAATCTTTGAATTTGGTTTCACACTAGCAACTCTCTAGGAGCTCCTAAGCCTTTAACCTCAGGGTTATATCATTGGTTTCTCTAAGGCATCAGATCCTGTGGCAGAGGAACTACTGGTTTCCCATTAGATTGCTATTATGAAACTGTCTAGCCTCTGATCATAAAACCAAATCCTTTTTGTAACTATATATATTGTATTGTTTTCTACAGAATTTGAACACTGTAAACAGGAATTTGAAATGCTGTTTGGTGATTGGTGACGCATATACACCAGGAATAAAACGTGGATACCCAGCCATCCTAGTTCTTGTGTCATCATCAAGTATTTAAATTTTACAATATATTTTCTTTTAAATGTACTAACAAAGATATTAGTTCAACATGGCAAACATGGATAGAAACCTCACAAAGCAGAAGAGACTTCCTTTTCAAGGTATAAAAAGGTCCCAGTTTTAAATATGTGTGACCTTAATTTTTACTACCTATATAGGGCTTTTTAAAGACTTTCAGTTAAGCTGCTGTAGTTTAAACGCAAACTGTTCCCTTAGGCTTATAAGTTTCAACACCCATTCTCTTAACTGATGGCACTGCTAGGGAAAGTAGATTTTTGCAGGAGAAAGTGGGTCACTGGAGCTGGTCCTTGACATTTTACAGGCTGGTCCCATTTCCTATTCAGACTTCATCTTGACTGTGGATACTGTGTGCTAGCTGCCCACCTCTCCTGTTGAGTGAATTTTCCCTGTTATGACAGAGTGTATCTCCTAGTAATGTAGGCCAAAACAAACCCTAAGTTGCTGGTCAGCTGTTGATAATGAGAAAAATAACTGAGAATATTGACATCAATAGTAGAGACACTACTGTGATAAAGTGACCACAAACCGAATATTTAATGTTTGGAACTCTGGACTAGAAATGTCCTAACATACTGTAAAGAGAACTGAATAGCCCGCTCTGATGAGAGTTTAGAAGACCAAAATGCTAACTAACAGAAATGCAGAAAGTAGAGACCCAGCTCATCAAGGTTCAGAGATCAAGGACTCACTCCATCTTAAATTGGGCTAAAGGCCATTTGTGTATTTGTGTGCTATCTTGACCAAAAAAATAAGCTGCATTCTGCCAAGGTCCCAAGAACTTGAACAAAGATAAATACAGGAATACATCAGTAATGAGCTAGTTATTTTGGTGGAAGTAATTTCCAGGATAGTGTTCAAATTGTGATGTGGCTACTGCTTATTGTTCTGATTTAGGTCCACAAACAGCAAGAAGTGTTCAGTTTGGTGAAGGAAAGAGTGTAAATTTAAATTTATAGGCCAGGCAATGTTAAAAAGCAGCTAATTATTGTGTCATTAAAGACACACTTGACACTCTATGGTACAACAGGAAAACTGTGCAACTGATCCACAGGGGTTAGGCCCCATGCTGAGCTAGCAGCACAAACTGACTACAGCATCCACATTGTGCCAGTTTTACAAGCATAGAAGATGAAGGGTTGAGGATTCATGGTCTTACATCATGGGTCCACAGAGCTGCTGAGGCTAGCCTATGTGGCAGGGTTGAGGTCCTTACAATAGGGCCCTCCAAAGGCAAGGTGTTAGGATATGAAATGGAGATCCTAGAATACTGGAGACGCCAGAACTATGGGGTGTGCACTGAAGAAAGCAGCTATCCTGGAGTGGAACCATCCCAAGGGCATTCTGTGCTGCAGGTGTGGGCTCCCACCTTTGGAGTCCACATAATAAATTCTATTGCAAACTCCACTCACTCAACAGTTTTAGTTGGAGTTCACTACAACATGGCTGCTACACCTGGAACTCTTATAAATGGGTCTGTTAGCCCCCGTTCTACAGCAATCCAGGTTTCAAGGAAAGTTTTTTTTCCAAAGGCCCATGAGAAATAAATGGTAGCAAGAGCTTGGAGGTTGCCATTACTGATACCATTTTATTACCAGTCAGACACTAGAAACACTCATGGATCACAAAGTACAATGGCCATCGCCCAGGGGTGTGGCATCACAATCACCTGGCTGGTCAAGCTGAATTCACTGTGAAGTATTCACCAAAAGAAACAGGGAAGGTTTTGAAAGGAGAGATTAACCCCAACCCCTTGCAGGAACTCTTCCCTCAGTTCCTTTATGTAATAGGCTCCTGTGCTACTAAGGGAAGAAGTGATTGGGCTCAGAACAGACATTTTTTCCAAAATGTGAAATTCAACTATTTACATGATTTTATTTTTCATTGGTGCTCTACCTTCTTAATAAATTTTACTACAAACCAAACAATAAAGCCCTCATATGAGCTGGCCTTCCCTTTGGCTAATTTTACTACATCTGTTCTTAAGAAGAAAGAAAAAAATAAAGAGAAAATGGCTAGCTCAAAGTCTGAATTTGTATTTTATGGATATAAAATTGCCATGCTGCTAAAGGTGACTATAGTTTTTACTTATGTTCTGTGTAGGTTGTTCAACAGTGTGGCATCACCTGAGAAGAGGAAAAGTGGTTCACGTAAAGTCAAACCAGTGACTAATGACTCCTTACTGCACTTGTGTTCTGTCACAAAGGCCTTACTTGTAAGTTCAGACATTCTCCCAACACAAGGCCTTCTTGTTTGCTCTTGTAGGATATACAACAGTGACTTCCTATTTTGGCATCAGGTTTCCAAGTTTTGATTATGGAATTTTTAAATCATAACATTTGGTATTAGACTATTAACTTTATGGGTTTAAGAATGTCATTTAATCTACTTACTAAATTTCCGTATCATATAAAACAGGAACAGAAGTGTTCCATTATATGGTTGTATTGAGAAGTTAAATAGCTTAAAGCTATTCTGTAAGTAAAACATTTAGCAAAGTTAAATGAAACTCACCAATTATGATTTATTAGACAAACAGACTTTGAAAAGACAAAACTCTAAAATCAACACCTACATGTGTCCACTTAGGACACCTAAGAGAAGGCACATTTGCTGCTTTGTGAATCCACAAGTGCTTATGATCACATTGCCAAAAGCTGAAAACCAGTCAAATGTGAACAATTTAAATTCAGTTTAGCACTTCAATCAAATAAGTGTTAAATAAAATTTAAACTGTTCCAAGAAACGTTTTCCAACTTGAATACTCAATGAATCAGTTACAATGATTTAAGTGAAACAAGAAATCCACAAGCAGAATCTGACTTCAAATCATTCAAAATATAATTAGTAGCCATCACATATAGTAGTAAGCAGACAAAGGCAGAGGAAGGTACTCGTTCTTTGTAACTTAAAAGGTGCTAGTGTGTTACTAAAAAAAAAAAAAATGTGGTTCATAACTACATAAAACTATTTCTGCAATAACTAACCTAAGTGTTCTTGCAGTCAGTTGTCTAAATGCTGCAACAGGCTCTTCTCTTTAATAATGGTCTTGCTGAACTAATTTTCAGTGAAGCAAAATCGGCAAAAGAGCTTGCAACAGAATACTGCTTCCAGTCCTACCAGCTGCCCCTCTGACTTCTGCGGACAATGTCCCTGGAGACCGGAAATGTGCCAACCGATGCAAACTAGGCAGCTCTTCGCAAGCTAGTGCTTCCAGCGACATTTAGGGAATGAAGATAGTAGAGTGGTATGAAAGCAGGGGTAGTCTGATGGACTAGCACATGCCCACCATCCAGAGGTGCTTTCATAAAGTTTCCATGGAAGATAAAGAGATCACTTAGAAGAAATCAATTCTAGCGAAGATGGTCAGCTATGAGTTCCAAAGAAACAGACACACAAGGCCAGTGTAAAAGGATGGGCAGAATGACTTCAACGCATTCCATAGAAAACAAGTGCCAAGAGAGCTGGAGCAGACAGAGAGACTTGGAACAGACTGAAGGCTCGCTAGAAAAGCAGGCCATTCACTTTCTGACATAAAAACTTGCAGTATTTATTTAGGTCTTAATAATATACTCTTTGGTAACTAATACAGAACAACTAAAATCTACCTTACTGTGTATGTATGTATATATAAATGTATATTTGTATGTATAAAACATCTGAAAAATGATACGAACTTAATAATAACTATCAGATTGTCACAGCTCAAAGATACCTGAACAATAGTGAACACCTCATCAAGACGGGTGTTTCATAGCTGAACTTTTCTTCATGTCTCCTAAAAGTCATTTAGAATACAAGCATCCTTACTGCCATATGCCCTCCCCTCTAGTTAAGGCTTGTATTACTGGCTCATTTTTTAAAAGACAAAAAGGGGGCAGGGATGACAGAGAGAAAAAACAATGATGCTAAATAATTAATTAGAAGGGAAATTACAATAATAAGAAAACTGAGAATAGAAAGTCTAATTTTGAATCCTGGAAAAGATTAGTTAATTCTTTAAAATAAAGAATGTATATGAGCACTGTTAATAAGCAGTCCTTAATGTACTTTAGATTGTATTTCAGTGTTAATGCTCCTCCAAATTATTTTAAGTACTAATAGATTGAAGCACATTATGCAACTGTTTAGATGTTCAGAAAAATAAATTCTAACATACATGCAGGTTTAATTTGTCTGTGACGTTGAAAGCAACACCATGAATGGGCATAGTGGTAGATTATCTGTACTCACAGCACCCAGAGACTGAGGCAGGAGAATCACTGTTAGTTTGTGGCCATCTGGGTGACAGAGTTCAAGGCCAGCCTGGGCCATATGGCAAGACCCTGACTGAAACACACATGCACATAAAGAAAAAGAACAGCTTGACCTGTTCTATCTAACCTATATGATAAAGAAGCTGGATCAGATGACACGTGTTTCTGCCAATTCTAAATGTTCTATCTAACTCTAAAAGCTGCTATCATAAGTCATAAAGACAAGTGATGCTTTGTTACTTAGCTTAATCTATTTTTTTTTTTGCGCTAAACTAGACATAATGCCAATCTGTGTTTTTTCTAATAGCAAAATGTTTTCAAATTGAATCACACTTAGAAACAATTAAAATTTAAACCTACTTCTGGTTAATAACTGAAAACAATAATTTTTTAAAAAATAAATAGAAGTTCTCTACATTTCAGCAAGGCCACTAAGAATATGGGAATATTAATTAAAAATTGTCAGTGTATAAAAAACCTTAAGTAACTGAAAATGACACTACAAAACTAAGTTACTGCTTAGTTATTTTAATCTTTTAGAAGCTTTACAGCTGTCTTATTTCTGATGCTCAGCTGCTATTGTAAGTAATAAAGACAAGTACTTCCCTCTGTATGTGTGTGTGTACATAAAAAAACTGGTAACTTTTCAAAAACTTATACATAATTCACATACATCTCTAAGAAAGTTTCATTTACCATTGTAAACACTGATTTATTAAATAATAAAGTAGAAGCATTAAATTTCTCACAGAGAAATCATGATCAGAAGTCCTATCATAGATAGTTATTAACAACTGTGAAACCGTCTGACTCAGATTCCATCAAAGCAGTGCAATGGGAGCCGAACACACAGCAGGGTTCGCCTGTGCTTTGGCTTTTCTTCGAACCAGTGCTTCCTGCCTTTTCCGTTGAATTTCTTCAGGGGAGTACTTCCTGTTCCTCTCTTCTTCACCTAAAAATTAAACAAAGCATAGGGATTAATCTTATAACCTATAGGTCATCCTGAATATGATGGAACTTTTGCTTTTTCATCGCACTGGTTTGATTATTAAATAGCACAGAACCATTACATATATAATCGCATGTACACACATAAGATAGAATGTTCCAGGTCAAGAGGATGCCAAGCCCCTACCCAATACCCACAATTCAAGTACAATAAAACTTTAAGGTAATTAAAAACTGATTTTTGAAGACTCAGTAAATAATTCGTGTGAACAATGACATCTAACCTATGACTATATAAATTTCTTTAAATACCAGATTTTAAATGGTACAAAAATATTGTAGATATAGTAAAAACATTATGGATTAAACTGTCTATCAATCCTTCAAATATAGCTGAGTGGTGGGTCATGTTTGCAATGTCAACACTGGAGATGGAGGAAGATCCAGTGAGCACTGTCTGCAGCTATGTACTGAATTCAAGGCCATTTTGTGCTACACAAGATGGTCTTGAAAAAAAAAAAAAAAGAAGAAAGTGAAGGGAAGACAAAGAAAAGGAAGGAGACTCCAAATAGCTATGAGGGAAAGCTGAATACCAACAGGTACTTTTTTCATTAAAATAGTCACAAGGTTTACATTTCAGTTATCAGAAAAAGATTTGAGTGACAGAATGAAATCTCTCACGTCAAATTGTGTGGGAGACATGGAGGTCCATGTGCTCACAGATAAGCACTGAGGGAACCAAACATGTTAAACACACAGAGCTATTTCTTCAAAGGAAGGGATGCATAACTTGCTATCCACCCAGAAGAGCGGGAGCTGACATAGTAACAGTCTGGAGACTTGTGCGTTATGACAAATCCTCCCCCAGACCCTAAGCATGAGCTTGTCAATCTATAGAACTTATTTTTATGCAAAGTGTCACATGTAGTCTATCTATAGAACCCATCTTTATGGAAGATGTCATACGCACTTTACAAAGAGTTTCCATGAAGTCACATCTTAACCATTATTGTGCACATGGGATTGAGTTAATTATTGCAGAGATGCCTGCAACACTGGCCATTTATAACTGTTCAAAATTTTATTTTTATTAAAGAATGTATCAGAAAATTTAAAACAGTAATCTACATGTGTATGTATATTTGTGTATTGCTTTAGATTAGAAACTATTCTCATTTAAATGCCATGTACTATCTAAGAGCACAACCCTAATATACATTTATGAAAACTTACTGATTAAACCTTAACTTTTTAAAGAATCTGTATTATCATTAGAAAAGAAATATTTAGATAGTGAAATCACAAACTTTTTACACAAATTTATCTGGTTGATGAAAGGAGACTGAAAATATATCATGTACCTACTTTCCATCCCAGAGAAATACCAAAATACATTTTATAAAAAAACAAGTTACTAATCCATAATGGTATAAAAGAATACAGCCTCATTAAAAAGGCTTCAAATTGGTTTGATAATATGGGAAGTAATTTCAAACATATGAAACCACACTATAAACTTCTGATTTAAGGAGAGCCAAATGCTTCCCCATCAGCTCTTTCTCAAACTCACTCACTCTCTCATATTTTATACATATATCAACCACTTACAAAGTCAAATTGCTGCACAGTACCAAGCAACTTTCTTAAATTTTTATTTTATTTTATGGCATAAGGGTCAGCAGTTATTACTCTCTGTAGGACCAAAAAAAAAAAAAAAGTTAACTTTTGATACCAAAATGCTTATTCTAACTGTTCAACCTTATTCATTTTACATAAAAAGTCATGCATAATATGTAAACAAATCAGAGCTTTATGAATTCATATGAGTCACACTTTCAAATCTGGTATTGTTCTCATGAATTTTTTAAAAACCATTTAAATTTTTAAAAATGATTTTTAATGCACCAGTTGTATAAAAAGAGGCTGCAAATTTCCTAATAACTCTGGCCTAAAGCCACAAACAGGTTGATGGGTTTTGTTTCAAGGATATTCCTTGGAGACCAGTTTGTGACATATCAAAGGGAAGGAGAATAAAAACAATACAGAACACTGGCGAGGGCAATATTAGGCAAGAAGATTAAACAGTATTAATAAATCTAAAAGAAAAACTGCTAGGATGAAAGGCAAGTAGTACATTTACAAAACAATGCAGACAGGAATAAGTCTTTACTGGAGCTAAAAGTATATGTAATAAATTCATTTTAAAAACTTTGACCAATCAGTTATAATATATTTACTTGAAAATAAACTTAGCATATTTACAACTATTTATAATAGATTGACAACAATTTTCAACATTTCAAAACACACTGGGCTGTCACATGAAAAAATACTCATTGTATCAAAATTTGTCTAGCTTTTTATAAGGAAATCTGGTGATATCTGTCAAATTTCACAACATTCTCTTACATCATATTTTTAGGAATTAAAAGATACAAGTACACAAGGCTCAGAAATTTGTACAGAAGAATTCCTACTGTACTGTTTATAACTGCAAAAAACTAACGCAAGCTTCCATCAATATAAAAACAATTCTTACCCAACCTGAACAACCATATAATTTAATATACAATACACAGACACTAAAAGGACATAAGGAAACCAACAGGTATTAAAAAGAAATGACAGTTATAATTTATTAAGGAAAAACAAAAATCAAGCATGTATCATCCAATTCCATCTATTTACATAAATCAATGGATATAGAAACACACCTTTTTTATATGCATAAAAAATCCTAAGACAAAAAGCACAAAGACTTAAAGTTGAGGAATAATAACTTCTCAGAAAGTGTATTTCAACAGCAATTTAAAAATATGATTGCAACATATAATATCTCAGAGAAATAGACCAAACCAAAGCATTTGTAGTCTAAGAGAGGGAACAGACTAAAGGCATTGAAAGCACATTCCATAAAAGTCAGGCATTAAATATCCCAAATATAGGCAACGAAATACTGCAAGTTTTACTTATAGAAGTAGCAAGTTACATGCAAGATAAACCTACCAGAACAACAAACTTCTCAGAAAAAAAAATTATGAGATAGCATGTCTGATGTATTTCAACATTAAAACAAATTACCTATCAATCAATATTATTATACATACATACACACATAGCAAAGTTATCCTTTGAAGTTGAAGGGCAAACAAAAATTTTCAATGATTAAAATCAAGTAGAACAATTGATGACCACTAAGCCATCGCTGCAAATGATAGTAAAGCAATAATTCTCAACCTTCCTAATGCTGCGACTCTTTAATACAGTTCCTCATGTTGTGGTGACCCCAACCATAAGATCATTTTCATTGCTACTTCGTAACTGTAGTTTTGCTACTGTTATGAATTTGATGTAAATATATTTTCCAATGTTCTTAGGCGGCCCCTGTGAAACGGTCTTTCGACCCCCAAAGGGGCTGCGACCTACATGTTCAGAACCACTGTACTAAAGGAATACTATGCACAGATGAAAAAGATTAACAAGTACAAGAGCTCCAGAAATAACAAATTTTAGAAATAATGAATTTTTTTTTTTTTTTTTTTTGGTTTTTCGAGACAGGGTTTCTCTGTGTAGCTTTGCGCCTTTCCTGGAACTCACTTGGTAGCCCAGGTTGGCCTCGAACTCACAGAGATCCGCCTGGCTCTGCCTCCCGAGTGCTGGGATTAAAGGCGTGCGCCACCACCGCCCGGCTAGAAATAATGAATTTTTAATATAAGCTAATAAAGAAATGAGTTTAGAAAGGAATCAAGCAGTTGTAAATGGGTAAACCAGAATCTTTAAGATGAAGAAAGAAATTCCCTACTGTGGAACAAGCACACTAAATGTAAACAGTTGTGACTCTCCAATTAGAAGACACAAACTTCAGAAAGGATTATATAGAACAGGATCTAAGTATTTGCTGGGTCTGACACACAAAGAATGAAATTACAAAGTCAAAATGAATCTGAAAGCCCAGACAACAATGCCAGACTTCAAGCCAAACTGAGAGGTTATAAAGCAGCAAACTGTTTTAATAAAGGGGACAATCCATCAGAAGATATGATGAAGGCTGACTGTGACAATAATCCCAACACTCAAGGAGAATAAAATCAAAGGACTGAAAATTTTCAGGTCTGCCTGAGGCTGCACGAGTTCCCGGACAGCCTAAACCACAGAGAATTCTATCTCAAAATCTGAAGTAAAACAAAACAAACAAAATTTGGCAGCCACATGATGGCTCAATGGGTAAAAAGGCTACATCTCATGATCTGAGTTCAAAAACTGGACCAATATGGCAAATAGAGAACTGAGAAGGTTCTTGCCACAAGACTGATGGCATGAGTTTGATCACTAAACATGGCAGAAGAGAGAACTGACTCCCTGAAGTTGTCCTCTGATCTCTACACTTGTGCTGTGGCATCCTATCCATCTTTGTTAACAAGTCATCTTAAGAAATAATAGGACAGAGAGATCCAGTCACAAAGGATTTTAGTACCATAATATTTCATTTTTGTCAACAGACCATTCAAGCAGAAAAACAAATAACAAAAACAACTCTGTGTTAACTATTCCACAAATCGAAATGGATTCAAAGGACAAATACAGAATATTTAACTCAACCACTGTAGAACTTTTCTAGCAACCCATTATACTTTCTCTGAAACAGATGTTATATCATAAGTCTTAATAAATACACACACACAAGGAGGAAGAGGGGGAGGGAATAATTTCTTCTCTTATCAGATCCATGGAAGGGTTATATCAGATCCATATGGGAAAGGTGGGTTACTCAAGAAATGAGGAACTTAGAAAATTTCTAGAATCAAGTAAAAATGAAAACACAACTTACTAGAACATTTAGAATAGCTAAGTTACTATTAAGAAAGAAGTTTATAGCTATGAGTTGCCTACAACTGAAAACATCAGAGATCTTAAGTAATTCATGTTCATTCTACAAAGTCAGTATTAACCTTGATATCAAAACTAGATAAGGATGTAACAATACATTTTCTGGAAGAACATAGCAAAATTCACTTAAAATAATTGGCAAATCAAATTCAATAACATATTAACAAGATCATAATCAAGCTGACTTCATTCCAGGGACACATACATGACTCAGCCTACACAAACCAACAAACAACATAGCACATAAAAACAACAACAACAACAACAACAAAAACCAAGGATAAGAATCGCATGATCATCAACAGATATAGGAAGAGTTTTAGATAAAACTCAACACTCCTTCACGATGACAACCCTAATGAATCTAGGAATAGAAGTATCATATCTCAACGAACTAAAGAACATATGAGACTAACCTACAGTCAACATTACAGTGCTTTAAAATTGAAAGCATTTCCTTTAAAATTAGATATGAAATAAACTTGTCTTCTCTCTCTGCTCTTATGCAATAAAAGTGCTGGGTCTCTCAGCCACAGCAAAGAGGGAATAGGAACGACAGAAGTCACCAGATTATTTTCATTTGTTAACCATACGATCACATACAAAAAGGGCTCCAAAGACATCTCTAGAAAACTCTTAGATCAGATAAACATTTTCAGTAACATAGAATAAAAAAAACTAATACATAAAAACTAGTAGATTTTCTATGTCTCAAACTAAGAAATCAGCAACAAAACCAAACAATAAAACTCCAGAAGTAAAACTACCAACATAGTGAAAGATCTACACAATGACAACCACAGAACAATGAAGGAGAAATTTAAAACACTAGAAGATGGACAGATTTCCTTTGTTCATGCACTAGAATTAACGCTATGAAAAACGACCCTATTACCAAAATAGGTCTACAGATTCAATGCAATCCCATCCAAACTCCAATGACATACTTCACATGACTAGAGAATTTATATAGATATTCATGTGCAGGCACAGACACACAAAGACAAACAGGCACACACAGACTCTCTTTCTTTCTTCCTCCCTCCCTCCCTCCCTCCCTCTCTCTCTCTCTCTCCCTAACAGCTAAAGCAAGCCTAAGCAAAATGAGTAATGTCAGAGGCACGATAACAACCTGATTTCAAATTCTGTTAGAGTCACAGTAACTAAGTCAGCATGGTACTGTCACAAAAGCAGACATGCAGATCAATAAAATAGAGGACTCGGACCCAAGCAGCTTATTCTCTACTAAGGATCTAAAAACTTACATTAAAGACAGTTTTGCTTTTTTTTTTTTTTAACAAAGGGTGCTGGAAAATTTAGGATATCCACATGTAGTGTCTCTCATCCTTTATAAAAACCAATTCAATATGGATCAAAGACATTAATGTAAGTTCTAAACTTTTGAACTACTGGAAATCAGTTAAAAACACTTCAAAATCCAGGGATGGTCAGGAGTTTCTGGAAAGAACCTCAATAGCTCAGGGAAAAAATAGCCAGAACTGGCAAGCAGGACTGCATCAAATTATAAAGTGTCTGCATAACAGAGTAAATAGTAACCACAGTGAAGACACAACTTAGATAATGCCAGACACTTACAACAGGGCCTAATATTCAGAAAATATAATGGATTCAACAAATAAACACCAAGAAAAACCCAGATAACCCACAGAACAAATGGCAAATTAAGTAAAAATCCCAAACAAGTACAAGTAAGCCAACAAATTTATACATAAAAAAAAAAAAACTTCAACTTCTTTAACCATGAAGGACATGCAAATCAAAACTACTCTTCATTTGAGCTCACCTCACTTAGAATGGTTATCAAGGTGGGGGAAAGACAACACATATTGGCAAATGTGGGGAGACAGGAGGAACCTTTATACTCTGTTAGTGGGGAAAAAAACCACACACCTATCTATACATATTAGTGAGATCACTAGGGCAATCAATATAGAGGGTACTCTAAAAGCTAAGGCTAGTTACACTATTATTGGTATATTAATGAAGGGAGCAAAATGAATATGCAATACCAATGTTTAATACAAAAATATCCATTCAAAATAGCCAAGTTGTATGACAAACCTTATTGTCCATCAATGAATTACTACAGGATATAATGAATAACAAAAAAATGTCATTTAGGGTGATGACTATTTGGGAAGAGGAGGAAGCCAGTAGGAAAAGGAGTAACTGGAGGCAGTAACTATGATAAAGTTACATTATATACAGGTATGAAAATGTCATAATCAGCTGGGTGGTGGTGGCGCAAGCCTTTAATCTCAGCACTCGGGAGGCAGAGCCAGGCGGATCTCTGTGAGTTTGAGGCCACCCTGGTCTATAGAGCGAGATCCAGGACAGGCATCAAAACTACACAGAGAAATCCTGTCTTGAAAAACCAAAAAAAGAAAATGTCATAATCAAACATCACTTTGTATAAGCTGATTAAAAAAGCTTCATGACGTATACCAAACTCATAACAGTGGTTTTCTCAGATAAAATTACTCTAAATTATAATATACTATTTTCTTACTTTATAGTATGTGGGACAGGTTAAGGAAAGACAATTCAGAGTTTTTCAGATTATAGTTTAAGCTTTAGATTTTATTTGAAATGAGTCATTCATTGAAGGTTTACACATATAAATGTTTCCTTATGTGAGTTAAAAAGTCTATTTTGCTTTTTTGAGAATTAGAATCTAAAGGGGACATAGAAAATTTAGGGTGGAAAGAATATTGTTAAGGTGTACAGTTTCAAAATACAATTTTTGAGGTGTGATTAATGAAATTTATTGAAGGAATAAAAAACATTCACAAAAAAGATGAATTGAAAAAATTTAAAAAAGGTTATATCAAATAATGTATTTTGTCACAAGTGGCATTGAATTTTATATCAGATACTAGTTATACCAGTTAATCAAAACAAGTAACTAGCATTAATGCTTTTCAAAGAAAATTATTTCATACATACCTTTAGAAGATGGTTTCAAAGACTCAGAATATTTTATTGAAGATTGCTGTTGATTAGCCTCAAACAATGAATTGACAGTTTCCTTTTTTCCAAAATCCTGCAAGATTTTGCTAACAGGCATACTTCCTGCTATACGATGTAACTGAGAAAGAAACTGTGGATTTTTTGTCTTAAATGTAAATTTTGAAAACTTCTGTATTTTGCTGTCATTCTGAGCTTTATCTGCTAAGGTGCCGTGGGATAGTTGATGAGTACTCAACTTCATATTAGTAGCAATTTCTGTGCTCCTAGGACCCAAACTAACATTCAAACTTGAACTTCCTGCAAGAATAAATTTTGAGCTATTCATCTGTACTGGTACATGTTGTTGATCATTTGAATTCTTAGGGCACACAGACAAATTTGTTGTAGTATCCAAAATATTGAGATAATCTCCACAGGTGTCTCTTTTTTCCAAAACCTTTACTGATTGATGTATCAGTGAGTTCTTTGGTAAGGATGAAGGCACTGAGGAACTGACAGGATTCCAATGTGTAGAAGGCACTGCCTGGCTTCCTCGTTTAGATGCAGTCCAAGTATTTCTGGATCTGTGTTTGGGAGTGTTATTTATACTTTCTGCTTCCTTGCTGCCCTTGTTTTCTTGCTGAGTTAGTCTTTCAATGTCATCACATGCCTGACATAGCAAATCATCATCCACATCATCTGCTTCCCACGTAGTCTCTAACTCATGGCATGCTTTAATCATTTCACTGGCCACCAAAGGATCATTCCAGTCATCAAGGGAAGAACTGAACTTTGATCCATTAGTCTGATTTGCATTACAAACACTGTTTTCTTTACCCAAGGATACAGAACCAAGGGGGGCAGTATCAATAATAGGTGCTTTCAAAGGCAGGTTAACATTTTTTTCATTAGGGTATCTTGAGTAGGAACCAGAACTGTCAGAAGCACACACATTCAATGTACACTTGTGACTATCTTCTTTTACTCTTGTAAGATTAGAGACATCAACACAACCTTCATTTTTAATGTTATTGAAAGATTTCTCAAACCTCATTTTACTTACAGTTAATGGTAACTTGCTAGATTCATCACCTGGATGTGATAAAAACCTATATCCTTCAGAATTTCTTAGTTCTCTGTTACATGTCTTTGATGGAAGATCCAGAGTTACTTTTGAATCTCTTAACTTTCCACCTAGATTCATATTTGTTGTTGACGTGATTGTATCATTTTGAGCAATAACAGTACAAACTGCCTTCTGACCAGTAACTTGGGCAGCTGTAGAAGGAAAGAGTTCAAGCATTTCAGCATTTTCCATAAGGAAAGGTTCATTGCCTAGTAAGCTTTCCCAATCGTCCTCAAAATCACTAGTAGTCAACCCATCAAGATGTTTATTCGAAGCTTCTGGCTTCTTTGCACAGGGAGTCACACATGATTTCTGCAGTAAGGCAGTATCTACCTGAGGGGAAGGTGATTTCAGAGTTTTATTTGGCAAGTTTTCAGTGAGCAGAGTTTCATTAGTAATTTCCTCTTCTATTAAGCTTCTTTGCTTTACAAAGGTAGTTTTACTATTGTTCACAAAAGCATCCGGCAGATCTTGGCTTAGCTGTCCACTACACATCTGAGTGGAACCATCAAAAATAGCATTAAGGGCTGCTTCAACATTTTGGTCAAAGGTTTTCTGAATTCTGTCTTGCTCCTTTGCCAAAGATATCCTGCTGTTTCCTTCCATTTGCTTCTTTATTAGAGCACAACTGATTTCAGGAACTGTATCATCTGTCTCTGTCTGTGCAGAATCTTGAAGATTGTGCAAATGTCCCACTTCTGAAGTTGTCTGGATAAAATCATGATTCTTCACATCTTGCTCTTGAATCACATCAAGTTCTTCCATATTTTTATCAAACTGTTTAGCCAATTTCATAAGTTCTTTTTCTCGATTTTGTGTTTTTAACCTATTAAAACATTGAAATATTTTAATTAAAAAACTGTGTAATAATTATCATTTGGTGTATTTGGTGTGACAAAACACCAAAATTTTACCTCTCAGAATATGTTTTTAATTCCAGAATTTTCTATATCAAAACAAAGAAGTTTACTATTTTGGTTTATTCCAAAAACTACAATATTAGTAAGCATATCTGCCTCACTGGAAGTACAAGAAGGTAAAGTCTTAACTCACTTTGTGCAGCTGATTTTCACTCTTGACTTTTCTTTGGCTACACTAGGAGTACAAGGAATAGCAGTGTCGCCAATCCACACACCCAGCATGGAATTTGTCACTGGTTTCTCATCCTTTGAAAGAGGGAAGAAAAAAGAACATAAAAGCACCATAAAAGCAACCCCCACCCCACCCCCAAGAAAAAGGAAGGAGAGGTGAGACTAGAGAAGAAGTAGAATTCTGGTGACAGTCACTCAACAAACTCAAACAATGGAAACTGGAGAAAGGCTGTAAACTGTGATCCATTTATGCTCCCAAGTAAAAAAGAAATATTCAAACCATATTTATAAAAACCAAGGTTTGATGTATATTACCTATCAAGTGCATTTTGGGGTTATATACATATAAAAGAATGTTTTATAAAAAGGAAACGATATTTCAGTTGTAAGATACTCAAAAAATCTGAACAAACTATATAAAAACATCAGAACTGAAAATAAGAATATATTCAGAGGCCAGGTGGTGGTGGCACACGCCTTTAATCCCAGCACTTGAGAGGCAGAGGCAGGCAGATCTCTGTGAGTTCAAGGCCAGCCTGGGCTACAGAATTAGTTCCAGGAAAGGCACAAAGCTACACAGAGAAACCCTGTCTCAAAAAACTGAAGAAAAAAAAAAAGCGCGCCATTTTATATTTATTTATTTGAAGGTTTTAGTGAAGGATTTCTATAATTTGGTAGTGAAACAACAAGCAGTTTTCTTAATGCACACTTGAATCTACTTTAGTTTTACAAAATAATAGTATCAGTTCATTTCACTGGTAGGCTAGATATCTTCTGATTTGTTTGATCAATACTTAAATAACATTCTTCATGATTTAATTATGGAATCTGTCCACATACTAGTAAATGAAATTCATACAAAGTCTGAAAAAGTCATGACAAAGTTATGTACCCACTCGTCTCTGTATTATGTACCCACTCACCATGTATATAACAGTAATCCTCTGTATGTTTATGTACTCCTTATAAGAGCTTATTTTAAATTTATAATTGTTTCACTATTAGGATAAGAATTTATACTGTATCAAGCTGATAATAGAAAAATAAATAATAAATAAATAATTAAAAAAATTGTAATCATTATATAACTTTTAGGTGCCATACAAGTTCTCTAAACCTTCAATTGATCTTAATGAGCACGCTGTATAGTTACATAAATGATGAAAATAAACGTATCACCTTAAATACCACGTAAATTATCACTACAGAAAAATGGAATGACTAATACGCAAACGCATATCTTAAAAATGAAATGTGAAACCATTATGAGGAAATTGAATGATTTGAGGGTAACTAAGAAAACCTCAAATATCTGCCATTATGAGAGTATGACACTTTTCAAAAGATCTTAATGCTGCCAACAATGAACCTGCTTTTGGTTTTGGTTTTTGTTTTTTGGACACAGGGTTTCTCTGTGTAGTTTTGGTGCGTCCTGGATCTCGCTCTGTATACCAGGTTCCTCAAACTCATGGAGATCTGCCTGGCTCTGCCTCCTGAGTGCTGGAATTAAAGGCGTGCGCAACTGCTGCCTGGCTTGAACCTGCTTTAAGAATGCTCGTTAGTAGACAAAATAAACTAATTAGGAGACTCCTAACTAGTTAGGAGACTGAATAAACTAATCCCGATATAGTTTTCTGGGACTCAAGCTACCACTATGCACTGTTGCCATTTCTTCACCAGTTGCTATTTCCAGCTCATTTAATAAAGGAGCCAACAGGACACTCAACTGGCCAGCCCGAACATATCTTATTCTGTTATTTGACTTAGTTAATGAAGATTTACTGTTAACACACAAAGTAATATTACGGCATAAATGTACTCAAGAAATCAAGTGTTGATACAAGGTAGTAGAAGGAGAGAACTGACTCCTTCAAGTTGTCCTCTGACCTCCACACATGCTGTGGGTATGCATGCACATGCATGTACATATGTATGAGAGCGCGTACACACACACTTACTTTTAAAAATGTAAAAAGAAAGTATTTAAGTAAGGAAAAGAAACTCAAAACAGTTGATGTTCTGGACCCATGCTTCTTACTAACAGCAAAAGGACTAATACAAGGAATGACAGTTACTGGACTCCTTGTGTTAAATGATTCCCTAAAACTTCTGTTTCACTGAAGCACCACAAAAATTAAAAGTGAAGAAAAGACATCTTTCAAGATGGGTCTATTACAATAAATAAACCATAATTAATTTATTTGTGGCACTCTATAGTTTATTGCAAATTTTATATAACAATCTGAAGAAGACAGCAAGGCACGTAATAATTCTACTTCATGGTTAAGTAAACTGAGGTTATGAGCATTTAACTGACTCATGGGGGTGTCACACAGGAGAAGAGGCTGCATGAGGCCTCTATCTAAACCCAGCAATCTCTCCAGTTTTAAGTGTTTCGTGGTGATAAAATAAGCCAGTGGATCTTAGTAAGAGCGACTGCAATAGGGAGACTCTGTACCATAGACAGCGAACAAGCCCTAACAACAAAGACTGAAATTTACACTGCTTGTTCTATTACACAACTTACTCAAAATATAATGTGGAAAACCCAGCATGGTGTTAAAGACAACAAAAGCAAAACTCTAGTCAATAGTTACTACTCCAAGAGAATTAAAACAAAATGTCTACTTGTATCTGCAGGTTCCACATCTATCTAACCAACAACAGACTAAAAATACGGGACATATATAGACACTTTGTTATTATTCCCTCCACAGTACAGCCTTACAATTAACTGTATTATTTAAGGAATAAGTAACCTAGAGATGACTTAAAGTACATGGGGCGGGCTGGAGGCACAGCTCATGGAAGAGCACTTGCCTAGCAGAAGTGAGTCCCTGGGTTTGAGCTCCAGCACTGCAAAAAAAATAAACAAAGTAAATAAATACAGTATACGGCAGGATATGCACAGGTTACCATGCAAAACCACACCATTTTATGTAAGGGACTTCAGAATCTGCAGATCTGGGTATTCAAAGGCGTCATGAAGCCAAGCCCCAAGGAGAATAAGGGATGACATTACCCATTCTATAATTTGCTCCTTCTGTCAAGACATGCACTCAAAAATAGAAAAGCTAAGTGTAACCTTTGTTGCTCTAAATACATTATTTTGAATACGAAAGAGGATACGAGCATACAATAAACAATGTTTGCTGTTTTAAAAATCAGGAAACTTGCTGTATTTACCTGAGGTGCAATACGGTTGACAATATGTGAAATCTCATCAGTGTATGTACTGGAAATCTGCTTTCTTCTTCCTTTACCTAAAGAAACAGACATTTCTATAAATCTTAGACCAAGATTCTAAAATCAGCTGTTACTTTTTAGAAAATGATCGTCATCAGTGCAACTTAAATGACTCCGCACAAACATCACATACTGTGGGATGTTCTGTATGGCAAATGTGTTGCTAATTAGTCAATAAATAAAACACTGATTGGCCATTGGCTAGGCAGGAAGTGTAGGCGGGGCAAGGAGGAGAATAAAGCTGGGAAGTGGAAGGCTGAGTCAGAGAGACACTGCCAGCTGCCATGATGAGAAACAGCATGTGAAGATGCTGGTAAGCCACGAGCCATGTGGCAAGGTATAGATTAATGGAAATGGATTAATTTAAGCTGTAAGAACAGTTAGCAAGAAGCCTGCCACGGCCATACAATTTGTAACCAATATAAGTCTCTGTGTTTACTTGGTCGGGTCTGAGCGGCTGTGGGACTGGCAGGTGAGAGAGATTTATCCTGACTGTGGGCCAGGCAGGAAAACTCTAGCTACAATCATGAGCATATTAGAGAGAAAATTACATGAGATTCAACAACAAAAAATCCACTGTGTTGAAGTTTCTCATGTTACCCGACCAAAATTTTACAAACACTAATCCTTCAACAAGCACTTAATGACATAAAAATCTTAACAGATTACCTAACTGTTTGGTCAGTGGAGAATTTTGATCCCAGAAGATATCAGTCTGTCCATCTGGATCGTTAGGAGAGCTGAAGGCACAGGATAATAAATCCGTTTTCACAACTCTTGTTGGTGTCTTATACTTTTCTGTATAAAATGACAGTTGTCACATTTTAAACATTACCTCACAAGAGCTGAAGTCAAACAGCAGTTAGACAAATTAATTTTTATCTCCAATACAAAACTTGTCTCTTAAAGACAATTACTTTAATCACAATAGAAATAAAAATGCCTTAATACTTTATAAATGCCTTAATACTTCATAGTGTTTTTTGAAAAAATTTCATAGGCCCAGGAATGATACCACCTGGTCACTGAGTTACTATTGCACGGCTCCCATACTTACTTACTAAGTTCCTTGCTGCTAGCAGTTTCATCGAAAACCTCAAAACGGATCCAAACAGAAACCCCAGTGAAACTCTTTTAAGCCCATCCTATCAACTCTACCCAAATTTTATATTCCAATTAACCACTCCAAATAACATTAATGATTTGTTTCTACAGAAACTAGAGGTTTGGGCATTTAGCTCAGTGGTAGAGTGCTTGCCTAGTAAGCGCAAGGCCCTGGGTTCGGTCCTCAGCTCCGGAAAAAAAAAAAAAAGAGAAACTTGAAGCACTTAAAAATTTTTACAATTTTATTACTCTTTCTCGGGTTTGTTCTGTCATAGCAGAGGCAGGCTAGGTAACAGAAGCTGTATTTTAAGAACACACCTTAGGAAAGGTTATGAGTCTGGCCCTTATTTGCTTAGGACCAAATCTTTAAAATCTAACTCCAAAAGTTAGCAGAAAGGAACGAGTCATTGATTTGCTATTCTAACCGGATGTTACTCCTAGCAAGTTCCGGGAGCAAACCACAGCTTTGAGGTGACCCTTTTGTTTTGTTAAGCAAAATAATGCAAAAAAAAAAAAAAAACCAGCTTAGGTGCCCAGTCCCCCGGGGGTAGCTCAAGGCACAGGCTCCGCCCAGAACCAGGGTCAGCCCGAAAGCAGCCGCCGCCCAGTTCCGGGGACTCGGCTCTGCGGCCGAAGCCTCCCGCCCCCTCCGAACCCCGGGGCTCGGCTCCCCGCCCACTCCTCCCCGCCCCCCACCCCGGGGTCAGTTCCCCGCCCGCCTTCTCCTCACCCCCGGGGCTCCGGCCACCGTCAGCCGCTGCCCGGCGCTGCTCCCGCCGCAAAGGCCGCGCTCCCGCCCGGCAGAGCCGGGAGTCGCGGGCCGCCCGGGACCACCGGGACCCCGGCTCCACCGCCGGGCAGCATTCCTCGGCTGCCGCCCTGCGCGGCGTGCTCCTCCGGGCAGGACTGTCCGCATGCTTCCTTCGCCGACTCATTCCGCTGGCACCCTCCTCCTGCCGCATTCACATTTTGCTACCCAGGAACTGTGCAACGGCTCTGCAAACATCCTGCGCGCCAACAGCCATCGCCATCTTTGCAAGTAGGGCGCGCAAAAGACGCTGCCGCTGATTGGCTGCGTCCGACTACCTGACGCTGATTGGCTGTGTCAGGTCGAGGGGCGGAGTTACGGAGGCTGCCGCAGTGCTTAGCGGCCAAGACAGTTCCAGCTTGGAAGGTTTCTTTGGAGATGTATCTTCAGCTTATCCAGCATAGGAGGAACTGCAGAACTCTCCTCTGGACAAGTGCTTGGGGGCTAGGTAGTATGTGAGGCAGTAATGCAATGGCCGATTCTTACTGAATTTACAACTTGTACTGGCTGGTTTTGTGTGTCAGCTTGAAACAAGCTAGAGTCATCAGAGGAAGGAGCCTCAGTTGAGATAAGATCCAGCTGCAAGGCATTTTCTTATTTAGTGATCAGTTGAGGAATGCTCGGGCCATGGTGGGTGGTTTCATCTCTGGGCTGGTGGTCCTGGGTTCTATAAGAAAGCAGGCTGAACAAGCTAGGGCAGCTCCTCTCCATGGCTTCTGCATCAGCTCCTGCCTCCGGAATCCTGCGGTTTGAGTTCCTGTCCTGACTTCCCTCAGTAATGAACAGCAATGCTGAAGTGTAAGCCAAATGAAACCTTTCCTCCCCAGCTTGCTTTTGGGTCATGGTGTTTCATTGCAGCAATAGAAACCCTAACTAAGACATAACATAAATTGCATATTTCCAAGATTCTAATGATGGTGTGTTACTTGATAATTTGAGAAAATAAAGGATATGGTTTAGGAGGGAATAAAATGACAGTTCATAGATGTATTATGTGCATAGAAAAGTCCTAAGTGTAGGAAAACTTACTAATTTAATAAACTAACAATTGCTGAAAACTGTACATACAAAACAAAAGCTGTCATTTCAGTGGGAATAAGACACCGTTTATTTTGAACCAAATAATTATCGTGGCCAGGGAGCTTTGATTCAGGTTGACCTGAAAAACGTGTTTCAACATAAAAGCATTTAAACAAACTTTTAGGGCAGCCTGGTCTACAGAGCGAGATCCAGGAAAGGTGCAAAGCTACACAGAGAAACCCTGTCTCAAAAAACCAAAAAAAAAAAAACAGTCACAGCACAAAACACAAAGGAAGCGTTTCTCAGGCACTTTGTTGGGGACAACAGGAGATAGATGGGTTAGAGCAAAGCAGGGGACAATTCTTCCATGGACCTTAGGTGAGGATAGTTCATGATATCCTTCCTCTTTAGTTGATAGAAGTTAGTGGTCTGCTAATAATGCATTCCAAAGGTTTTACCTGGTAGTCAACAGGATGTTAAGCCTGACAGAGAACTGGACAATTAGTGGCTAGTTAGGACACTAATGATAGGCATAAAGATTATTTGGTTTTATATGTGCAACATTCCAGTTTCCTTTTTTGCTTTTTCTTTTTGGTTTTTCGAGACAGGGTTTCTCTATGTAGCTTTGCGCCTTTCCTGGAACTGACTTGGTAGCCCAGGCTGGCCTCGAACTCACAGAAATTCACCTGGCTCTGCCTCCCAAGTGCTGGGATTAAAGGCGTGCGCCACCACCGCCCGGCCCAGTTTTCTTTATCACGAAGTGTGCCTGTGTCTTTTTTCTTTTTTTAAAGACTGTGTCTTATGTAGCCCAGTGTGCGCACCCCCTTTGTAATGCAGTCTGGCCTTGAACTCCTAGTCTACCTGCCTCATCCTCACCAATGCTAGGATCGCAGGTATAGGCCCCTAATCAGTCAGTCAGACTTGTAGAATCATCAGTATGGCCTTTTTCTTCCATTCCCAATACAAAGTGAAATTCAAACGTCAGTTGTGTTCTAATAGATTAGTAATAAACAAAATTCTAAGTTTTAAGAAAATATGATTCGCAATAGTGAAATTAAAGAGTGCCAGCTCTCTAGACAGAGCTATAAAACACCTTTGAAATAAATGGAAGACCAAAATAAAGAAAGGTTATGCTGTATTTGTGGGCTGCTAATACAGGGTCAGTTCTTCTGTAAGGAACACATGTAAGGCCTAGGGTGAACAACCCTGGTCAGGAATGATAAGCAATAGAATGATGTAAGTAAACCACAAATGGAGTAGTGATAAGCTATAAGCTATGTGTGGAAGTAGGGATAAGACTAGAAACCTAGCCAGGAAAGAATATAAAAGATGAAGCCTCAGACCCGACCAACAGAGCTCGTCAGGCCCTCGCGCGAGACGACTCTCCTCTGCCAGAGACGTGAGATCCTGTCCCCAGTGCAGACGTGGCTGACCTGAGGAAGGCTGACCCAAGATCCAGAGGAACAGACGTGGCGAGTCCGGACCTGTATACCCGGAGAGGTACTCCTGCTTCCATTTGGAAGACAGGATGAATATTGCTTGTAATCTTACTGTGTGAATAAATGAGTGTTATACCAAGTCTGAATCAAGAGTGATTATTCCTCCCCCGTAACTGGGGTATGTGCTCGCTACACTCCCCCGTAACTGGGGTATGTGCTCGCTACAGTTGGCGTAGTCGGCAGGATTTTGGGCTTAAAGCCTCCTTGACCACTGAGCACTGAGGAATGTAAAATAAGTAATACAAAAGAATTGGCTATTACTCTGGTGGAGTAACAAATTACAGGAAACCAAATAAACTAGCAAGTGACCTCAAAGCCGCTCTGAGAAATCAACTCCTCGAAGTCAACTCTGAGGACCTAAAGAAAATCTGAAGGTCCAAGGAGGAAGAACTGGTAGGAGAGAGAGTATCAGAAGCAGACGGGAAACACCACCCTCCCTAAGGGTGCGGAGTACCGAAAGAATACCGGACACCTTGATGCCAACCCAGACCCCTGGGGAAGAGCGGAAGGTGCTGGGAAAGAGCTAAATGAGGCGCTGGCTGGCCAAAAGGATAGAAAGGATCGCGGATTTGAAATTTGAAAAATTGATAACTGATTCTTTGAATCAGTCTAAACGAATTAGTGACTGGGAGTGGTACCGTAGGAAAAAATTAATTAAATTTTTGTACGGCTTGGTATACCACTTACAATGAATAGATTAATTAAGAAATTTAAGAAGACTAACATCTCCCCAGTGACAGGTAGAGAATACCAAGATGAGGTTGAAGAACAGTGGGGAAAAGTAGCCTCCAAGGTTAAAAATAAGGCCGGCATGAAATCAGTAAATGTAACTAACACATTAACAAATCCGGATGTGGTAGAACAAGAATTAGAGGGATGTAGCAAGGCACAAACTACCGCACTGCTTATGAAAACGGTGCAGGATATTGATAAGGACAGATTAATGGGCAAAAGGCTAGCCTTAAACATAGTGAGGAAGGAACAGGAGCGTAGCGCTACTCCTGGATGGAATGGATGTAACACCGTACCATCATTTCCTGTCTCTACCCAAAGTAAGAGAACTCCTATTAGAAGTACTATATCAGCTCTGAACCCCTTCAGCACTGGAGGAGGTAGTAATCGTCCCAAATTTGAAATGGGAACGAAGTTTGAGGAAATCAGGCCATATACTCCTCAGGAGATCTCAGAATTACGGAAAGATTATGCCCAAAATGGACAGAAAGACGCAGAATATATGTGCCGACTGTGGGAAAAGGGAGCTGACACAGTCATGTTAACTGATCTAGAAATGAGAAAGATCAGAAACATAGTAGAGAACCCCTCAGTATCAGAAGCTCTAGAGCATGTAATTGAGACATCAAAAGGCGATACACATCCACTATTAGATTGGATTACTGCAGCTTGGAGATTTGCATTTCCAACATTAGACCTCACTCAATTTGAATCAGCAGCACAGTGGACAACATATGCACAAGCCATAAAACAATGTAGAAAATTAGGCATATTGTATTTCATATACAACCAGGTACCCACACCTCAAGCCGCACCTTTTACACCACAATTTAAAAAGATCATTATTAAAGGAGCTCCAGCACACCTTAAAATGAGCCTAGCTGGACCCCTGCAGGCATGTCAAACCATCTCAGATGCCATGGAATTCTTTAAATCTTACAGGGAAATGGACATAGACAAGGTAGTATCATTCAATGTTAATAAGAAACAGGACAAGAAGAAATTTACACCGCGGTTTTCGAACATAAGACCATTTGGGAAAGCTAATCAAATGCCCATAAGACAGAATGCAAATAAACCATGGAACCCAATTAGAAGGTTGACAGGAAGGAAAAATATCCCATGGAGAGAGACACAGAGCAACCCATGGAGACAGACATGCCAACCAAAACCTTTTTTAGGCAATCGAAATTTCAAACCAAATTTCAGACCAAAATTTTTCAATCAGAACAATCACAGGCCCCCAAGAGCAGGACCCCCCAGACGCTACATACCAAGATGGACTTGATCAACCCGGCTGGTAGACCATTCGTAGCTATACCTATAATAACTAACAAAGGGCCGAGAATAGTAAAATGGCTAATAGATACAGGTTCTGAAATTAGTATAATAACGGAATTTACAGAACATTTTAAAACTGATAAAAGGATTATAATACAGGGAGTAGCAGCAGAAACAGAAGTACCAGTAATAAAATTAAGACTCAAATTATATAATAAGGAATATGAGATTGAAGCAGCTAGCTTCAATGCACCCTGTAATATCCTAGGCATTAAAGAAATAAGAAAATTATTCCCAGACTTTCTAAATAATAAGAGAATAGCTAAGGTCAGATGTAATCTAGCAGAAGTAAAAATACAACCTATTAAATTACCACACACACCCCCGACCTTCACGGCACAATACCCTATCAAAGGAGGTATTAAGGAAATAACAGAGACTATACAAACTTTGCTAAAAGAAGGCATTATAGAGAAATCTCAATCATTCAATTATAACAGCCCAGTATGGCCGGTGCTGAAACCTAATGGCAAATGGAGATTTACAGTTGACTTCAGGAGAATAAATGAAAAAACACCTAAACTTCCAGGACAACTTCCTGATGTGGAAGACATCTTTCTTAGAATTAAAAATTCAGCTCCAAAGGCAATGGCAACTATAGACTTAAGTGATATGTTCTTTGGAATCCCATTACACCCAACATCTAGGGAACTTACTACATTTACATGGCAAGGACAGCAATATCAATTCTTGAGACTCCCTCAAGGGTATTTGAACAGTCCTATTATTGCACACAACACCTTAACAACTACATTAAAGAGCTTTGAGCCAGAATCAGACTGTAACATATACACCTATGTAGATGATATAATGATAGTAGGACAAGCCATTGACAAAGTACAAAGTACATTAGAGAAACTAATTCAACATTTAAGAAATGAAGGGTGGACTATAAACCTAGAAAAAGTAAATAAAGCAGGAACAGAAGTAAAATTCTTAGGGGTACATTGGACTACAGAAGGACCAACAATACCCGAAACAATAATAGATAAATTAAAACAAATTAAGCGACCCCAGAATAAAACTGAGGTACAACATCTAATTGGCCTATTTGCATATTGGAGGCAACATATTCCATACTTACAGATCATATTACAGCCTTTATATAAAATAACAAAGAAAGCACAGGATTTTGAATGGGACCAAAACTGCGAAAATGCCGTTAAATTGGTACTGGAATATATAAACCAGTATAGCCACCTATATTATATACAGCCCGGTGACCACGTATTTGTGGACATCTTGTATATGCAGGGTTATGGTAATTGGAATATATTTTCAAAAAATAAAGACAGGGAAACGCCAATAGGCTTCTACTGCAAGAAATTCCCATGGTCAGAGAACAAATATTCGCTGTTCGAAAGAACCATATGGACAGCCTACGAGGCATTCAGGACAATCCACTCACTGCTCAAAGAGAACCATGTGACTCTCCGATCACATATACCCATTTTGGACTGGGTAAAGGCACCAGGAGAGGCATGGGCTGGACTACCCATGGAAGGAAAGGTACTTCAATGGAAATGGTACCTTCAGGAGTTCCTTCGATCAACACCTCTGTCAGCAAAGGGGTCGGTACCAGCGGTATCGGAGTCGATACTTCAGTCCGACAGGCCCATGACTCCAGAGGGATACATTTTCCCAACCTCAACCCCTCCCCAGAAACAGGTACCAATGGGCCATTGGGGGACTAGAGAGTACGATCCCTCTCTGGTTAATGCCTGGTTCACCGATGGATCAGCAACCACGGTGAACAACAAAGTGAGATGGAGAGCAGCCGCTTATAGACCTGGGGATGGAATGGTCATTACAGACCAGGGCACTGATAAATCAGCCCAACATGCAGAAGTTATAGCCGCACTATTGGCGATAAGACAAACTATAAAGGACAATTATAAACAAATTTATTTATACACCGATTCATGGTGTGTGGCAAATGGCATAGCAGTATGGTCAGGTAAATGGAGAAATAATGGATGGAAAATTAATGGTAAAGACATATGGTCAAAGGCAGCATGGCAGGAATTGGATGCAGCAAGCAGACTAATCAAAATCATAGTATACCATGTAGATGCACATACCAAGAAACAGGATGAGACAAGTAAAAACAATGAAGTAGTAGACAAACTAGCTTCAGCGTTAAGTATAAAGTTAAAAGGTACATGGAAGGCAAACATTAATCCAGAAACAGGAAAAGGTAAAATACAGAGAGAATGGATACAGGTAAGACCATCAACTAAGGACATACCTATAAGTACAGAAGAGATACTGAAAATCCATGAGCAGTTAGGACATATAGGTACACATGCACTAAAAAGTTGGTTCGATAAAAGAAATCTTAAGATGACATGGCAGACAATAAGGAAAGCAATCAATAGTTGCAACAATTGCCCAAAGGCTATTACAAGATTAACACACAATTACCAAGGGATAATAGGACACCGAATGGATTTTAATAGAATCCTACAAATAGACTTCATAGGACCGTTAAACAGCTTCAAGGGAAAATATTGCTGCACCCTAGTAGACATAACAACAGGTCTCGGGATGGCCCGAGAAAGCACACACCCAGACCAAAACACAACAATACTTACAGTCTGGGGATGGTGTGCAGCATATGGAATACCTGATATAATACAATCAGACCAAGGAACTCATTTCACAGGAGCCAAAACACAAAGAATGGCTAGAAACTTAAACATTCAATGGGACTTCCATAGAGCCTATACACCGACAGCAGCTGGAGCAATAGAAAGATGGAACGGAATGATTAAAAAACAGCTAGAGATGCATAAGGGAATACCACTGTCATTAGCAATAAAAATAGCAACTTATGAATTGAATACCAGACCCAGAATAAATAGGAAGTCACCAATAGAAGAAGCTATACAAAAACAACACACAATAGATTATCCTACAGTTATAGATAGAGAAGTAATAAGGAATCCTAATTGCCTTTACAGGAACCGGAAGAATAACAAATTATCCCCAGCAGAAATAATAGCACCAGGAACAGGAAACAACGTGTGGATAACTCAAGGTAAAAAGGACTTGAAATTAGTCAGGCTGGAGGATATAGCATAAATGTGTGTCAGGGAGGTGATATTCATAAGGGCAACCCTCCTGACGATTTGGCTAATAGCTATTGCAGTATACATAGTACTGCCAATCTTAGAATTTGTTTTTCCCTTCTGTAACATCATTTACCAAAGAAGCTACTCATACAACATAGTCAACAATACCAATCCTGGATACGCTTCTGCAGCATCCAGAACAGCCAACTTCACGGTATGCTGGATACACTATCTGCACAGGAGGCAATAAGAATAGCAAAGGTGATGTGCACATTGAAGGCAAGCAAGCTATATGCTATTGGAGCCTTTGTGTGCTCATTTTTCTGTCTCAGGTTAGCAGATGTGATGGCAATAACAGCATACCAATGCCAGCCCTATTGGACAGTACACCCACAACAAACAGACCCACCACCACACCACATGTTATACAAGTGGGCACTAGGAAACAGAATACCGTTGCTACACCAACAATTTATGATCTAGAAGGCAAATTACCGCTATATTGGTCAGCAGAGAGAAGATTTACACATTACATAGGAAAAACACACAGTTTTTGGCAAAAATATGCAGCATGTTTAACATATGCCTGGTATAAGGGTTGCGATCAATATAGAATGGCACTTAGCATATACCATCCAAACAAAGAATATATGTTAGAATCAGGGGATGATGTTAACACCAACATACATGAGCAGAACCCGTTAAAATGCCATTACAATGAATTATGGACCAACATTACCAATCACGCAGCCATATACAACATGTATTGGACAAAGAATTCACATATCAGAACAAACACATTAAGGGTAAACTCACACTATAGGACCAATACAATGGGAATAGAGACAGAACCAGAATTTGACTGCGAACTAGGCATGAATAGCTCCTTTGTGAGACAATATTTCGCACCAGTAATAGCACAACAAATGGAGGAGATAGGTATGCTGTATAATAAGACATCAGAAAGGTGGGAAGAACAAGTGTATAATTACAATGATGACTATTATGATGGTGATTACCCTGCTAGTACAACACCTAAAGTAATTACAACACCTATAAACCCATGCAACCCTATGAATTGGACAGTATGCAATGATGGTGAAATGGTAAAACCATGGCCAGTAGTATCTGGAATAATACCATTACCCAAACCCTGGGGAAATAGATGTCCCAATAACTTATGGAGATACATTCAAAAACATAAGCTAGATGTACCAGGACAAAATAATACTAACTGGTTATGCGTAGCAGACTATCCCAATTTACCATTCTATGGTAACTTCTCTGTATTATATAGCACAGATAACCCATCAGTAAAAGGAAAGGAATGGAAATGGGATGACTGGACAAAAATATTGCAATTAGGAGTAGAACATTGGAGATTCCCAATCATACTTACAGATATTATACAACAACCTTGGGCTTCAATGAGACACACAATGAAACCTAAATATGATTGCAACACAGACACCATAACACACATTTGCATACTTACAGTAAATTCCACATTACACAGGGAAAAACACTCTTTTGCATATGCATGTATAAATATGTCCGAAGCAAATACAAACATTAGACAAAACAACAATACAAAGACTATAGTGGACCTACATGTAGGACCTTTATTTACTGGAAGAACATCAAGGTCAGTACAAGATTTAATAGCAATCACAGATATAATAGGCCAGAAAATACCATGGCTAGGAATTTTTGTGGACAGTACTGCAAATATAACAGCTACTAAACAGGTCCAGGCAATAATGAGATTTAATGACGACCAACAGTCATATCCAACATATTTTACGCAAGCAAGTAATTTGGGATTTTTTAACCTAACCTTAGCAAAATCACTAACACAAGGTACCACAAGCTTGAGAAACAAATTATCATGCTTTACCGAAACAAATAATACAGCGGTACGGACTAACTGTACCACAAATAAAGCAACCACAATAATAAATTTGAATATATATGGTAAAATTACCATAATAAACAAACATATGTCACTAGTAAAATTTGACAGCACACCAATATTAACCATAGGCATGATACATGAACCAAAACATAAAATACATAACATGCTAGGTGGCAGTAAGATATCAATTTGCTGGTTTCACGAATCTAAAGACTTACTGGACATGCCCATACCCTGGGAAGTCAGTGCCAATGTTACTACAGATGAAGTAGCAGCAAAAAATATTTTCATATTTAATAGGGCAATTGAACAAAAGGCATACAATTTCACAGGTATAAGGGAGGTAGAATATATCCCACCATATGTACAAATGACAAAGGCTATGAGAATCAATAAGGTTATGGATCCAGATGACCTAATGGTACATTATAAAAATGGGATAACTAGATCAGGGAGTTTTTGGCAAACTTTGGATTATGAAATGGATAGAGTAATTGAATTACAGCACCATAATCTCCCATATTATTTCTACATGTTAATGCCAAATCCACAATATAAAGAATGGAATAAGGCTGAATGGGTAGCACACAAACCTAGAGGATCAATGAAATCACATACACAATATTGGGATAAAATATATTATCTCCCGATATCAAGAAATAAGGATTTTCTCAGCGAACATTCCAACACACCATTAATTATATTTAGAGGAAATATGACCAGACCAAATAAAGAAAATATTGGATTATATACAGCTCATTTTCCAAAAGGATACCTAATACCACCAGAAGGAACCCCAACAGTAGTCAAGGCACCAGCTATTATACCAGACCTAAAAAGTCCAGCTAAATTAGTTTTATACCCTAGGATTAGAAAAATTGAAATTACAATAGATTTGACAGCACTGAAACCACCTATAGAATATTGTAGTGATGTGAATTTTAGATTTGATTTAGACTACTCATCACCAACAAGAGTAGGAAGAAAACCACTACAAGCAATGGCAGTAGCAGCCTTTATGGCAGGAGCAATTTTAGGTGGAATAATGGGTGGAGGAGTATCAGCAGCAATGATAGAACCAATAAAGGCAGAAATATACCACATACAAGAAGTAAATAAGAAAACAGCAGAAGCTTTAGCAGCTATATCAAATTCTATAGATGGCATGCATACACTAATACAAACTATGCAAGGCGAGATAAAAATGTCACAAGACCTTTATAAGGAACAATTCTCCTATCAAGCAAAACTTATTAATACTAACCATAACATGATGATGTGTCAAATGTATCGAACTCAAGTCAGTAATATGAATAATGAATTAAATAGTTTATTTAGCACAGGGTTAGGGAGAAGAACAAGAGAATATCAAAGTATACTAAACCCTGAATATGAAAGCTCATGCACAGATGGATTATGCAATATACATTTAGTACAGATCTTCTTACAAAATTCATTTTCAGCATATCATTCCAAGGCGATACCACAGCTATATACTGAAAGAACAGGAGTATCAGAATGGAACCACCAATACTTAGTACCCATAGACCATTACTTATGGACCAATATGAATGACACACCAGTGTACATACCATTAGAAGACTCCATATCATTAGGAGCAAATACATACGTTTATCCACATTTACCAGAAAGCACACTTGAAACTAGTCAATTGGCAGTAACTACTATCACACAGTCACTAGAAGATACGGGAGATTACACTTTCTTGATATGTGCTAAATATTTACCTACTTTAGTTAGCTGCATAAATCTTAATGAAACCACAATGAATGATGATATCACAACATTCAATATTACAGAATCAGGATGCTATATGGTACACAACTGTAGCATCCTACAAATGAATTTCACTAATTATGATGGTAAAAACATAACCAAACAAAGAGTGACCACATTAACACTAGAAGAAAAACATTATTTTGATGGCTCACACTTATTTAATGACCCAACAGAATTAGAACATCACCAAACATTTGTAAAACAAGCAATGGAGTTACAGCACATTGCAGATTTCAATCAGAAACAACTGGAATCCATACATAACAAAATTAAAGAACAAGATGCAGCCATACATACATCACAAGCACAAACGCACAATCTAGTGAATCTGTTAAGAACAAATACATACATACATAAAGACTGGGCAAAACAGATGCAGAAATGCAGCTTTTGGGATTATTTAGGCAGACTAGTCAGATTAGATCTAATATGTACACCAATTTACACATGGTGGCACTGGATAAAGTTAGCAACCTTTTGGTTTTTAGTAATTTTAGGGATAAGTATTGCTTTATGTTTGTCTAAAAAAATCAAATGCTTGATAATAACTCCATGCTTAAGATGTCTTACAGGAATCAAGTAACAGGAAACCCACTTTGGAATCCGTCAGGCAGACGCTTCGATTTACTTAGTAAAAATGGAATGAGTAATTTACTATATACCACATACCAAAAATATATGGAACCATTGTCTGATATTTTCTATAGAATAGGTATATTATCTATGGCAGGAACGATACAGGGATGCAAATACTGCACCCATAAATATGCAATGTTCTACCTATCAGAACCAGGTGAGGTAGACAACCTCCCAATGCTCTTGATGCACTTAACGTTCCACTTGACAATAGAAGGAGGTATACATGATATGAGATTAATTGGAGATGGATACATGAGATATTATGGAACCATACAATCTAGTGTATATAAAGTGAATGGAATGTACAAAATACACAGAAATAACATGGATGCAGCCCTACATATAAGCGCAGCTTTAGCTGCAGCATATGTGGGCCGCGGTAATCACAGAATATATGAAACATATAGAACATGGCTAAAACATAATCCTGATGAAGCAATAATAAGCATTGATAAAGATTTCCTGAATGACCCACAGTGGGAAACAGGAGAACCAATGTATTTACAAAGCATATGTACTAGAATATTGTGTGGAGATTTTGTTATAGATGTGTTAAAAGAATTTGCAGCTTATAGCACTTGGTTGAAGTTATATAATGCATATATAGAGAAAAAACATAAAAATAAACCACCCAGAATGAGAAGGATAAGAATGCTAGGATTAACAAATTAGGATAACATATTGTAAATCTCCAGGCTGCGACCTCATGTGATGCCTTTTATGTTGAAGACATTTCAGGCATCAGGGGATGGAATGTAAGGAACACATGTAAGGCCTAGGGTGAACAACCCTGGTCAGGAATGATAAGCAATAGAATGATGTAAGTAAACCACAAATGGAGTAGTGATAAGCTATAAGCTATGTGTGGAAGTAGGGATAAGACTAGAAACCTAGCCAGGAAAGAATATAAAAGATGAAGCCTCAGACCCGACCAACAGAGCTCGTCAGGCCCTCGCGCGAGACGACTCTCCTCTGCCAGAGACGTGAGATCCTGTCCCCAGTGCAGACGTGGCTGACCTGAGGAAGGCTGACCCAAGATCCAGAGGAACAGACGTGGCGAGTCCGGACCTGTATACCCGGAGAGGTACTCCTGCTTCCATTTGGAAGACAGGATGAATATTGCTTGTAATCTTACTGTGTGAATAAATGAGTGTTATACCAAGTCTGAATCAAGAGTGATTATTCCTCCCCCGTAACTGGGGTATGTGCTCGCTACATCTTCCCAAATGTGTCGATAGTCAGTGCTGACACACTTAGACTCTCAGAACAGGGTCCATGCATGTCTAAAGGGGGGGGGGGGGATAGCGTTACTCTAAGACATGTATGGAAATGAAAAAGGAAGAAAATAACCAAGAAACTCTTGGTCTCCTGTCATGACTTAGAGCAGATAAGAGTTAGCATGGTGTTCTAGTGGTGAAGGGATGGACAAATAAATGAACAGAACAGAAGAAATAGCCCTCCACAGATTTCTACAGAAACACAGGCTTGTTTAATCCCAATCTGAAGCATCTGAACCATGACAAAAGGACTTTGGGAAATAGCTAGTACAGCCAGATGGAATGGATAATAATACATGTAATTCTCCCAGCACTCAGGAGGCTGAGGCAAGAGGACTGAGAATTTGAGGCCATCTGGGTTATATTGAGTGATTTTATCTCAAAAAATGAAAAATAATAAGTAAAAAAGTATACATATATATGTATTATATGTATACACCCATATATATAGTTTGCATCAATATAATTCACACATTTAACAGTCAAGCAATGACAGGGTTCAGAGGTAGGGCTCTGGGGACATGTTTGGATCATGAGGCCTCTGACTCAGTGAGTAGATTAATTTACCAACACGTGGAAAATTTGAAGACATTGTTGGGAGATGATTGAGCTAGGCGTTGGAGCCTGTTTGGAGGAAGTAGATCAACAGGGGCATGTCTCTGAATGATGTATCTATTGTGCCCCTCTCCCTCTCATCCACATGAAACAAACTATTCTGCTCCACCACGTGTTGCTGTCATAGTGTTCAGACTTCCTTCCCACAACAATGGAGCCTGCTGACTATGATTTGAAACTATGAGTCAAAAATAAAATCTTCCCCTCTTAAATTGTTTCTCTGGTGTTTTATCAGAGTGACAAAAAGTCTAATTTAGGCCCATACATAAAATGTGTAAAGATTGGCTTGGTAAGAAAACAGAAGAGGCAGTGATTAGAACAGGCTTTTCGAAACAGAAATATATAAACAAACGAAGGTGCTCAACTCAGTCAGAAGATAAAGATCACATGAGAACAGCTAAAATTTAAAAGGCTGACCATACAGGCATCAGGAAAATAAACTAATGGAAGCTATCATATACCACAGGGAATATAAGCAATTTTTGGTCAAGCAGTCCCACTGAGAGGAAATGCACGGGCTTGTGTATCAGAATATATCTACTCAAAATACTATATAATAACGGAATTGAGAAGCTCCAGCTCCAGATTATCTTGTGGGCAAATTGCCCAAAGTGAATTGAGCAAAAATAGGAAGGACTCACCCTGTTTCACCTCCATTCAATAGAAGAGTCATAAATCCCAGCAAACCAAATTCATTTGTAGAGTATAGAGAGTTTGATTGTCAGCTTTGACTTCATGGGACTTAGAATCACTATGCAAGCAAACCTCTGGGTTTCTGCTAAGGCTTTTCTAGATTGGGCTAATGGAGACGGGAAGACTCACTATAAAGGTGGCACCGTTCCTTGGTGTCCTGGACATACACAAAGGAGAGAGCAAGCTGAGCACCTGCATTCATTGCTCTGCTCTGTGGCTGCAGATGCAATGTGCTCCCGCTGACATGCCATCCCAGCCCCACTATGGTGAACCCATGCACCAAAATAAACCTTTTAGTTCCTTAAGTTGCAATATGTCAAGAATTCTGTCACAGCAAACAGAACCGTGGCTGATACAATGAATGTAAACCTCAATGTTGAAATTTTAAAGAAAGATCTAAGAAGTGATTGTCATAACAGCCAGAACAATGGCCACTGTTCAGGTGTGAATGGAGTACGGCACCCACAGGCTCATGGGTTTGAACAGGTGGTAGTCCACTGGTGCCGTTGGGAGGTTGTGGAGCCTTTAGGAGGTGGTGCCTAGCTGGAGGAAGCTGGCTGCAGGAGGATGGGCTTTGAAGCTTATAGCTCTGCCCCTTCTCCTGCCAGTCCCTCTGCTGCCTTTGCCCTGTGTGATACACCCCAAGCCACATGTCACCCTTGCCAGAGACAGGGGTCACATCTGCCAGGCTTTCCCTGTCAGGTACTCTCCAACTGTGAGCCCAAATCAATCCTTCCTCCCTCGTTTCTCTTCAAATATTGTTAAAAAAGCCGAGAAAAGTCATTAACACAGTATCTTTTGAAAGAGAGAAAGGGAAAGTGATTGAAAGAGGAAGACAAGTCTCGTGTATTTGTTACCTTCATTTTACTGTCATGAAAGTGATCATCTTGTGGTAACTCATTAACTTCTGCATCTTATATCTGTCCATGAATGCAGTATATTTATTAATAAACACATGTTAATCCCAACAGTGAGAATAAGACCACTACCACAATTTGAGCCAAATTTGAAACAAGCCTGATTTTTTATTTGGGGTGCACCTAAGAGCTGACCAGCAACTGACTCCGAACTCGGTTAAAGAGAGCAGCCCCGAATCCATCTCTTGGGCCCCTTTTAAGGAGTAAAATCACAAGTAGGTTTATAGAAGGGAGCCGATGGGGCAATAAGGAAATACAAAAAGCCTTAAGAAAACACCATGTGGTCACCCACCATGCAATTAGGGAGGGGTCCAGGGAGGGTCAGGACATTCTCAAAAACAAATCAAGGTTGTGGGTTGGGAAAGGTCAGGTTTCAGAAAACAGAGAGCAACTCAACTCTCACAGTAAATAGAAACTTATTTCTAAAAATACAGCATAATGGCTCCTGCCTTCAAAATGGAGTCACACAGGCTCCTCACACATTGTAACTTTTTTTTTTTTTTTTTTGATTTTTTGAGACAGGGTTTCTCTGTGTAGTTTCGGTGCCTGTCCTGGATCTCACTCTGTAGACCAGGCTGGCCTTAAACTCACAGAGATCCGCCTGCCTCTGTCTCCAGTGCTGGGATTAAAGGCGTGTACCACCACCACCCGGCATGCATTGTAACTTTTAATCTAAAAATCTTAGTTCTACAGAGGAACTCATCCATTTTTTCTCTCTTTGTAACTGTTTCCCTGGCAGTTTGGCTGAAGGTAGTTCGAGAAGTAGGTTTGAGCCTCAGTCCTCATCCTTAGGTAAGATGTTTGAGCCCAGAAGAACTGCATTCTTTCTCCCTAGGTCTTTGGCCTCCTCCTAATATTTTCCCTTACTGTGATAATATGTGTAAATCACATATTTGAATTTGACGTCATTACTTGAGAATCCACATGTCTAAATTAGCAGGATCAATGTTTCTTTCTCTTAGGGATCTCTCCTGCCTCCCATTTGATCAAGGATTCTAGAAGCACACATTCACAATGGCTTAATTTATACCCCTCTGACCCAAAAACCCAACTCACATTTAGAAAGCAGTTAAAAAGTTATGTGGCAGTTTGAATGAGAACGGCCCCCATAAACTTATCGGTAGACCTATATGAGAAGAATTAGAAAGTGTGGCCTTCTTGGAGGAGGTATGTCATTGGGGTTGTTGGGCTTTGAGTTTTCAAAAGCCCAGACATCCTGAGTTAGGTCGCTGTCTGTGCCTATGGATCAGACGCAAGCTCTCAGCTGCTGCTCTGGCACCATGCTGCCTGCCTGCCTGCTGCCATACTCCCTGTCTGGATGGTCATGCACTCACTCACCCACCTCTGGAATTGTAAGCCCCAACAAACTCTTTTATAAGTTGCCTTGGTCATAGTATCTCTTCAAAATAATAGAAAAATAGGTAAGACAAATTCCAGATAATTTTTTTTTAAATTTTCCAGAGCTGAGGACTGAACCCAGGGCCTTGTGCTTGCTAGGCAAGCGCTCTACCACTGAGCTAAATCCCCAACCCCCAAATTCCAGATAATTTAATGACACCTAGAGGAGTAAGAAAAATATGCCAGTCTTTTAAAGCTTAATAACTTCTCACAACTGTCCAAATTTTATACTATTCTTGTAATTCAAAAAGAAATAACACACCTAAGATTGCCACACTCTGTGATCCCTGTGTAGCAGGAAATTGTCCTATCATCAACAGTCTCTTAGAGTTGTAAATGGTTTTTCAAATTCAATACACTTCTTGAATTTAATTCCTAAAATAAATATAATACAATTACTATATAAATGAAGTGTCTTCTACATTTTGTATTATTATTAATGTGTCCGTTTGTATGGTATGTGTGTTTGTGTAAGTGTCACTGTGCACATGTGGGGTCAGAGGACAGCATTGGCTTCCCCCCTTTACCTGGGTCCTGAGGTTGAACTCAGGTTATCCACTTCCCACAGCAAGCGCCTTTGCCTGCTGAGCCACCTTACTTGCGCAATACAAGGGTTTCATATGAAATATAAGCTAAGTTTAGGAGATACTTTAGCACATTATTTTTGTAAAACCGCGGAGAGAGGCCTTAGCGGGTGGAGCCAAGGTGCCCTGCAGCAGGTGAGGGAGACACTCTGCAGACACGGCACCCATGTGGAAAGTTCTATTAATGGAAGAAAGGAAGGAGGAAGAAAAAGAAATTGGGCAGAGTCTGAGGAGAGGAGGAGAAAGAAAAGGAAAGAAAAGAAAAGGAAGGGAGGAGGTGCACAGTACCTCATGGTGAGAGAGGAAGGAAAGGGGGAGAGGGGTTTTCTCTTAAAGAGAACTTTACATAGATTCATTAAGGGAGCTGGGCGGGCCAGGTCTGAATGCTAACAACTATGATTCAAAACAGCAAAACATAACATTTCTCTACATTTGAATAATTTATACATGTAAGTAATATCTAATTTGGGAAACTTTTTAATAACAAACTAAAATTTTTGTTCCTATAGAGAAATGGTTCATAAGCATGATGGTAATTATTAATCTGTGTTCCTAGGGAATCTTTACTGTCAGAGATTCCCACCATTTTCACATTACAATCTTATTATCTCATGCTACTGTGAGCATTTGTTTCAAGAAAAAAACAGCAAGATTGATAATTCAATCATAATTATATAC